ATTCTTCCTAACACCATGTACAACAGTAAGATTAAAATGGATTAAAGACCTCAACATCAGACCAGAAATCATAAGGTACATTGAAGACAAAGTTGGAAAAAACCTCCATGACATTGAAGCTAATGTTATCTTCAAAGATGTCACGCCACTGGCCGAGCAAGTGAAAAAAGAGATAGATAAATGGGACTATTTAAGAAGCTTCTGCACCTCAAAAGAAACAGTGACCAAAATACAAAGACAGTCTACAGAATGGGAAAGGATATTCGTCGAATACACATCTGATAAGGGTTTGATATCAAGGATATACAAAGTACTGGTTGAACTCCACAAGAAGAAAACATCCAACCCCATCAAAAAATGGGGCAATGAAATGAACAGAAAATTTCTCAAAGAAGAAATCAGAATGGCAAAAAAGCACATGAGAAAATTCTCTACATCATTAATCATAAGGAAAATGCAGATCAAAACCACAGTGAGAGACCATCTCACACCTCAGAGACTGGCCCACATTCAAAAGAACAAAAGCAACCGATGCTGATGTGGATGTGGCGAGAAAGGGACACTCCTTCACTGTTGGTGGGAATGCCGACTGGTTCAACCCTTTTGGAAAACAGTATGTTCAACCCTTTTGGAAAACAGTTATATACAGTAGGTTATCAATGAGTGAATCAAATCAATTAATGTCTATAAAATGCCTAACAAGATTCTCAAAAAATTAAAAATTCAGCTCCCATTTGACCCAGCAATACTACTCCAGGGAATATATCCCATTGAGGCAAAAATGTATATAGTCCAAGTGACATCTGCACTTGTTTGTTCATTGCAACACTCTTTACAATAGCCAGAAACTGGAAGAAACCTGAGTGCCCAAGAACAGATATCTGGTTTAAGAAACTTTGGTACATCTACACAATGGAGTACTATGTAGCTGTTAGAAAACATGAAGTCATAAAATTTACATACAAGTGGTACAACATGGAAAGTATCATGCTAAGCGAAATTTGTCAGAAAGAGAGGGATAGACATAGAAAGATTGCATTCATCTGGGGGATATAAAGTAACAAAATATGAGATTAATACCCAAGAATAGCTGAGATCAGCACCAGGAGGATAACTCCATAGTTAGAGTCCAGCCAGGCATTCTAGGGGATAGGGCAGCTCAGATAAAGAAGGGAGCACCAAATAAAGGGTGTTTGGAGGATCCTCCCAGGAGGGGAGATGCATGTTGAAAGTAGACTATGGACTGAACAGGTTTGCCACTCAATGCCTGTTTTGCAGACAACAACACGCAAAAGGAGAGAGAGAACAAAAGGGAATGCCCTGCCAAAAGGGCAGGGTGGGATGGGGGAGATGGGGGTGGGAGGGATATTATCCATGGTGGTGGAAAATGGGCACTGGTGGAGGGATGGGTATTTGATCATTGCATAATAGAAACCCAAGCACAAAAAATTGTAAATCTACAACTGTACCTCATGGTGTTTCACTAATAAAAAATTTTTAAAAAGGAAAAAAATAACAGACTAACACAGAAAAAAAGATGGTACTGCTAGTAAATGGCTTCATAATAGAAAGTTAAATAATGGAATTTCCATCTTTACTTTTGCTTTTTAAATATACATTCAGACATTTTCTCAGTGCCCTATCCATTACCTACCAATCCTGTGAGACAGATTTTGCATTAAATTGTTTTTATTAGTGAGAAAAAAAAACAGGTAAAGAAGGGATATAAAAAAAAACAAAGTCAAGACAAGACAGTTATAATGGTCATAATCAGGGTTAACAGAATAGCCCAAACTGGGGTGAATACTAGTTTTTTTTATATCCGGTAATGTGACTAGAGAAACTTAACATGTGCAAGCTCACTTTTACCACCTATAAAACCAAGTATGTTGTAGTAGTTATATACAGTAGGTTATCAATGAGTGAATCAAATCAATTAATGTCTATGAAATGCCTATGAGTGCTTAATACACTGAATATCATACATTTATGATAGGTATGATTCATGTGACCTAATATAATTTTTACCACATTATGTAAGACTATTGATTCTTCCTTACAAATGTCAACTTCAGATCATTGCCACAAATATCTATTCTTTTTATTTGCACTGAACTCATCTACACTGACTGTTACTAGGGATATAGTTAGTTTTAACAAGATCCCATTCTTGATTTTATGTATATAGTTACAAGATTATATACGTATTAGATTGGGCTACAGTTTCATACATTTCTTCAAAAATTCATATTACCAGCTCTGAGAAAACTGGAATGTCACATGCTAAGAACTAAAAACTGAATAAACATCTTACAATGCTAAATTCTAAGTGGAAAAATACCTTGATAGGGGATGGAGAAAAATACAGGGGATAGGGCATTTGCCTTGCATGCAGACAACCTGGGTTCAATTCCCAGAATCCCATATGGTCTCTGAGCACCGCCAGGAGTAATTCCTGAATGCAACGCCCTTGTGCATTGCCGGTGCGATCCAAAAAGAAAAAAAAAACTTGATATTAAACCAGAATTCATAACATATTTTGAGACATAGGTGGAACATTCCAGAATATGTACCTCAGATATATCTGCTAAAATTTGACTCTGATGGCAAAGAAATCAATTGCAGAAATAAACAAATGGGACTATATATCAAACTAAAAATGTTTTGCATGGAAAAAAATATGAGCTAAACTAAAGATATCCTACTAAATGGGAAAAATATTTGTACATAAGACATCATATAAAATGCTAACTTCCAAAATATATATATATAAAAGCTCAGAAAACATACAAAAAAGAGTCACCCTGTCAAAATGGGAGAAAGGAAATGGCAGACACCTTCCAAAAGAATGAAGTCACATGGAAAACTGTTTGTAGACTGCTTGATGAAAAAATTCAAATTAAAATGAAAACGAGCTATTATTTCACACCAGACTATTGGTGGAATGTTTTCCAGGTCAATCACTAGAGAAAATTGTTTGGTGACTTCTCAAAAAGGAAAGAGAATTTCCATATCCCAGTTCTTTTTCTTCATGATAGTTACCCCTCCCATAAAAAATAACTTAATTTTAAAGTATTTTTTGAAATAATTTTGAAAATACATACCCCTATGTTAATTTAAAAGACATATATTATACACACTGACATTTATTGCCATACTAATATGATAGCCAGATATAAAAACAACCAAAATGTCCAATGACAGATGAATAAAGTAGCTGTTATAGATACAAAATAAATATTGTGCAGTTATAACAAAAAATGAAATATTGAATTCATCTGCAATCTGAATAGAATTTAAAGGCATTGTTTTCATTGAAATAAATCCAAAGTAAAAAAGTAAATACAATTTTCTCCCATTCATCTGGGCTGGAGCAATAGCACTGAGGTAGGGCGTTTGCCTTACAAGCGGCCAAGATGGCCGACCTAAGTTCGATTCCTCTGCCCTTCTCAGAGAGCCCAGCAAGCTACCGAGAGTATCTCGCCCACACAGCAGAGCCTGGCAAGCTACCCATGACGTATTCGATATGCCAAACACAGTAACAAGTCTCATGATGGAGACGCTACTGGGCCCGCTCAAGCAAATCAAGGAACAACTGGAGGACCGTGATCTCATCTGGAATGTATAAAGAAGCAAATCCCGAAAATGAAAGAAATAGACATAGAAAACGATAACAAACCACTTACCTTGGATTTTAAAAAATGAAATCAAGTAGAATTCAATCAAGAGCATTACAATTGCTCTGAGGAACTATAAAAATACCAAGAGGATAAATTTGGGTGATCTCTGTAAAGTTTATTATTTCAATCATAAGTTTAGTGGTTATAAAATCAGAAACGGTACAAGGTAATCCATTACTGACGCAGGTAACAGAAACTTAGAGTTGTCACTGTACCATCACTGCCCACACACATTGAGTACTGGCAAAGGCAAAAAAAAAAAATTTCACTGTTCTGGTGGAAACAGCGCAAATTTTAAATTCTACTTCTTCTACAGATTCTGCTCAAACTTACAGTAAAACTCTTGGAAAATTAAATTATTCGAGGGGACCCAGATTCTACCTTGCTAGATACTGTCCAGCACAAACATTATGAAATCTTGCACAGTCTTTGGGAATCACATGAAGCATATCCCAGGCACATCAATGTGGAAATTGATATCTATGCCTCTTTCTGCTGCTGGAAATTTTTCTGATCTTAATTTTTTTTTTTTTTTGCTTTTTGGATCACACCTGGCATTGCACAGAGGTGACTCCTGGCTCTGCACTCAGGAATCACTCCTGCCGGTGCTCAGGGGACCATATGGGATGCTGGGAATCGAACCTGGGTTGGCCGTGTGCAAGGCAAACGCCCTACCTGCTGTGCTAGCGCTCCAGCCCCGTGATCTTGATTTTAAGAGAATTCCTTTTCCTTTCCATGATTTTCTCCTATCTTTTTAAAGACTACTCTTCATAAGGGAGTTCAGTGAGTAAGGTGGAAAGAAAGAAGTCATTTGGAAAAAATACAGACAAAATCTTTATCACTCTTCTTTCCTTAGTTCTCCCACACCCCGGTCCAGTTTCTCTTCCACATTTTCTCTTTTCCTCTGGGATTAAAGCTTTTTTTTCATTATTTCAGCTTTAACCTGTATAGCTATGTGAAATATTTTAATTTCATTAAACTCTATGTGCTGAACAATCAAATATAAAAACATATAGAAAATAAACAAAGAAAAGAGCAGTGTGACATTGAATTAAATGTCCTCTCATTTCCCTAACTTGCCTTTTCCATAGAGTTTTATCTACCTAAATCTAGTCATGAAGACAGGTGCTTAAATAGGGATTCTTAATAATGGTAGTAGTTGACACACATTAATTTTGATGAGAATATACCTAATAGCAACAGGAGTCAGTGAAATCAGGTTTCACTTTCCTAAATGGATAGTATTATTCCTACTGAAATGTCACAAATTCTTAAACGTTCTCTTTTCTGATGCTTAGAATACCTGGCCAGACGTTATTCTTATGGGGGAAAATGTCTCACCTTCTTCATCACCCTTCTCACGGCTTCTTTGATCTCTTTATTCCTCAGACTATAGATAAGAGGATTTAACATGGGAATAATGATAATATAGAACACTGAAAGTACCTTGTCCTGCTTATCAGGGTGACTAGAAGTAGGACGCATGTACACAGCCAGGGCTGTGCCATAATAGAGTGTCACAACTGCCAAATGGGAGGCACAGGTATTGAAGGCCTTGGCACTACCTTTCCCGGAGGATATTTTCAGGATGGAAGCAGCAATGAAACAGTAGGATAAAAGGATACTGAGCAAAGAACCAAATCCAACAACTAGAGCGACAAGAAAAACAATCACTTGAGTGGTGGAAGGATCAGAGCAGGACAAGGTAACAATCTGGGGTAAATTACAAAAGAAATGTTGAATGACATTTGGTCCACAATAGTGGAGATTAAAGCAAGAGATTACTTCAGTTAAGCTACAGATTAAACCAGTTCCAAGGGCCCCAGCAACCATCTTCTGACAGAATTCAGGTGCCATGATAGTTGAGTACTGCAGGGGGTTACCAATGGCCACGTATCTGTCATAGGCCATGGCGGCCAAGAGGCAAGACTCAGAAAGAGCCATCCAACACCCAACAAAATACTGGGTGGCACAACCAATGAAGTAAATAGTTTTTTCATCTTTGAAGAAATCTGAAATCATCCTTGGGGTGATGGAAGAAGAATAACAAATGTCAATAAAAGACAAAAAGCTGAGAAAAAAGTACATAGGTGTTTGCAGGTTGGAGTCCATCCTGATTAGGAGGATAATACCAAGGTTCCACATTAAGGTCACAAGATAGATCACTAGGAAGACTGGAAAGAGAATCAGTTGCAGGTCCTTTTCATCTGTGAGCCCTATGAAAACAAACACAACCACTGAGGTGTAATTTCTGTTCCCTTCCATTGAGATGCTTGGTTCCATCTGCAGAAAGGGAGATGATAGAAAAAAAGACTTCATTCACAAAATACAACAAAGGTGTTTCTCTTTATTCAGTCATGTGTTAGCCCAGATACATAATACTGAATCATCATCAATGAGTTGCTTTCTATTGTATAGTTATATATTTTATTTATTTTTTAAATTGAATCACTGTGAGCTATACAGTCACAAAGTTTTTTGTGATTGGATTTTAGTCATACAATGTTCCAACATCATTCCTTTCACCCGTGTACATTTCTCACCACCAGTGTCCCTATTTTTCCTTCCTCCTCCCCAGCCTGCTTCCATAGGAAGCACTTTCCTGCCTCTTTAGTAACCACTTTACTTCTCTCTCTCTCTCTCTTTCTCTCTCTTCCTCCTCCTTCTCCTCCTCCTCCTCCTCCTCCTCTCCAAATTCTCCAATTATACATCTTAACTGTACAATTCTCTTAAGTAAAATTCTCACTTTCTCTTTGGGAATAAAGATAAAAATTTGATGTCTTTATAATATTGTGCACTAAAATTCCTTATTCATTCTCCCCAACCCCTGGATTCCACGGTGCAAGCCCCGAGGCGCCCCCCCAGACACCAGGAGACAAAGCAGATCTGAGCCTCTCTGCCTCTCCCTTTCCGCCACCCAAGCCGAGCTTGTCTCTTCTCCCCATCCAGTCTGTGGGCGTGCCCTAATTTTGGCGGGACAACGCTCACACGGCCGTAGGTAGTTTACTCGAATCAAGAAATCTTATCCCAAAACCTACACTACAACATGTAGAAACAACGCAAATCCCTGCCACAGGGAGATGACGAGGAAACAAGTCCAGAAACCTCAGTAGGTGCTAGCCACCTTAGGGACCTCTCTGACAAGGAATTCAGATATGAAGTCATCAAGATGTTCAATCAACTCAATGAAACAGACAGATAGATATCCGCTAAATTGAAAGAGGACATGAAAGAAACAATCGATCGCACAATTGACAAAATACAGGAAGAAATGAGAGCGGAAATAGGAAAGCTTCGCACAAAAATGGCACGAATCACAAATTCCATAGATGAAATCAAAAACTCATTCTGTGCCCTCAAAAATAGAATGACCACAACTGAGGAAAGAATCGGTGAGCTGAAAGATCAGCTGCACCAAGCCAACACGGAACAACAAACAATGGCAAAGGACCTCAAAACAGCTCTACAGAGAATCATCCTAAGAGACGATTCCAAAAGAAACAACGTTAGAATCATTGGACTACCAGAAGTTCAGGGAAGCAAACCCAATGAATAAACCATGGTTAAACAAATCATCACCAAGAAATTTCCAGAGCTCCACAATACAGCCATTCAGATTCAAGATACCCGAAGGGTGCCAGCTAAAAGAGAACCCAAACAGAAACACTCCAAGACATATTATAGTTAGAATGATTGATGCTGCCGATAGAAACACAATACTTCAAGCAGCAAGGGCAAAAAAGGAAATCACATACAAAGGAGCACCCCTGAGATTCACAGCAGACCTATCAGAGGAAACCCTACAAGTCCGAAGGGCAGTGGCAAGATATAGTCAAAAAACTCACTGAAATGAATGCTTCACCAAGAATACTCTATCCGGCTAAACTCTCACTCAAAATCGAAGGAACGCTACACTATTTTCTAGATTAACAGCAGCTCAGGAACTTCATAGACTCAAAACCAAACCTAAAACAAGGCCTAAAAGGGCTACCATAAGACAAGACAAACCCTACAACCACAACACACCCGCGGAGAAACATGACACAAAACCCCATAACCATACTCCCTCTCAATGTCAACGGTCTAAATTCACCATTTAAGAGACACAGAGTGGTAAACTCGATACGGAGACAGAACCCAGCATTCTGATGGCTACAAGAAACTCATCTCAATACTCAGAGCAAACACAGACTCAAAGTCAAAGTATAGAAAACAATCCTGCAAGCAAACAGCTCCTGCAAAAAAGCTGGGGTGGCCATACTAGTATCCGACAATATTAATTTCACCTTGAAAAAGACTAGAAGGGACAATGAAGGCTATTTTCTCTTCATCAAGGGATACGTACAACAGGAAGAAATCACACTCTTAAATGTATACGCACTTAACGAGGGAACAGCTAAATATTTTTAAAAAACTGCTAACAAATTTTAAGGAGGACATTGCAAGCAACACAATAGTACTTGGAGACTTGAACATCGCTCTATAACCTCTGGAGAGATCAACAAGAACAAAACCCAGCAAGGAATCATTGGCTTTGAAAGAAGAAATAGAAGAGAGAGGGCTTATAGACCTATACAGGGCTTTACACCCCCAAAATAAAGAATACACATTCTTCTCCCATGCACAAGGAACATTTTCCAAAATAGACCATGTGCTAGGACACAAAACATACCTCAACAGAATCAGAAAGATATAAATAATATCAGCCATCTTTTCAGACCATGATGCACTGAGGATAGAAGTGAATCACACACAGACATGGAGAACCAAATCAAATACCTGGAAATTAAACAACTCGATGCTGAACAACGAGTGGGTCAGCAATAAAGTCAAGGACGAAATCAAAAGATACTTGGAAACAAGTGAGAATGAAGACGCCAGCTACCAGAACCTATGGGATGTACCGAAAGCCATATTAAGGGGAAAATTTATAGCTCTGCAAGCATATCTTAGGTCTGTAGAAACAATGCACATAAACAACTTGACCTCACAGCTCAAGACCTTAGAAAAGAGTCAACAGAAAGGGCCTAAATCAGGCAGAAGGAAAGAGATCATAAAACTTAGAGCAGAAATCAATGACATGGAAACCAAAGAAACAATCCGAAAGATCAATGAAACCGAGAGCTGGTTCTTCGAGAAAATAAACAAGATAGATAAATCACTAGCAACACTCACAAAGAAACAGAGAGAGAGAACCCTAATAAACCGAACCAGAAATGAGAAGGGGGATATCACAACAGAAACCAAAGAAATCCAAAAGATCATCAGAGACTACTATGAAAGTCTGTATGACACAAAACAAGAGAACCTAGAAAAAATGGACAAATTCCTGGACTCCTATAATCTCCCAAAGCTGAATCAAGAAGATCTGGAGTATCTGAATAGACCTATTAACATCAACGAAACAGAAACTGCAATCAAAAGTCTTTCCAAAAACAAAAGCCCGGGCCCAGATGGATTAACTAGCGAATTTTTCCAAACATTTAAAGAGGACCTTCTGCCAGTACTTCTCAAGCTTTTCCAGGAAATTTAAAAAACGGAAACTCTCCCAAACAGTTTCTATGAAGCCTATATCTCTCTAATACCAAAAGGATACAAAGACACCACGAGAAAAGAAAACTGCAGGCCAATATTCCTGATGAACACGGGTGCGAAGATTCTCAAGAAAATACTGGCAAATAGAATTCAATTACTCATCAAAAAGATCATACACCTTGACCAAGTAGGATTCATCCCAGGGATGCAAGGATGGTTTAACACTCGGAAATCAATCAACATAATCCACCATATCAACAAAAGAAAAGACAAAAATCATATGATCATATCAATAAATGCAGAAAAAGCATTTGACAAGATCCAGCACCCATTTATGATGAAAACTCTAGCCAAAATGGAATAGAGGGGACTTTCCTCAATCTAGTTAAAGCCATCTACCACAAACCTACAGCAAGCATCGTCCTCAATGGGGAAAAACTGAGAGCCTTCACTCTAAGATCAGGGACGAGACAAGGATGACCACTCCACTGCTGTTCAATATAGTACTGGAAATACTTGCAATAGCGATTAGGCAAGAAAAAGATATTAAGGGCATCCAGGTAGGACAGGAAGAAATTCAGCTCTCACTATTTGCAGATGATATGATACTATACTTAGAGAATCCTAAAACCTCTACCAAGAAACTTCTCAAAACAATAGGCTTGTATAGTAGAGTTGCAGGCTATAAAATCAATACCCAAAAGTCCATGGCTTTCCTATATGCAAATAGTGAAAGAGAAGAAAGTGACATGAGGAAAACAATCCCGTTCACAATTGCGCCCCAGAAAATCAAGTACCTAGGAATCACCTTAACTAAGGAAGTAAAGGACCTGTACAAAGAAAACTACAAAGCACTACTTCAGGAAATAAAAGAGGATACGAGGAAATGGAAAAATATCTCCTGCTCATGGATCGGGAGAATTAACATTGTCAAAATGGCAATACTTCCCAAAGCACTGTATAAATTCAATGCAATCCCTATTAGGATACCCATGACATTCTTCAAAGAAGTGGAGCAAACACTCCTGAAATGTATATGGAACAATAAGCCCCCACGAATAGCTAAAGCAATTCTTGGGAAAAAGAAAATGGGAGGAATCAACCTCCCTAACTTCAAACTCTACTACAAGGCACTAATAATTAAAACAGCCTGGTACTGGAACAAAGGCTGAGCTGTAGACCAATGTAACAGGATGAATATACTGACATCTCCCCCACAAGCATACGAGATTTAATCTTCGATAAGGGGCAAGAAAAGTGAAGTGGAGCAGGAAACGCCTCTTTAACAAATTATGCTGGCAAAACTGGACGGCTACATGCAAAAAAAAATGGGCTCAGATCTCTGCCTAACTCCATGTACAAAAGTAAGATCTAAGTGGATTAAAGACCTCAACATTGGACCGTAATCTATAAGGTAAATTGAGGAAAAAGTTGTCAAACCCTCCATGACATAGAAGCTAATGCTGTCTTCAAAGATGTCACACTGCTAGCCAAGCAAGTGAAAACAGAGAAAGACAAATGGGACTATCTTAAACTAAGAAGCTTCTGCACCTCAAAAGAAACAGTGACCAAAATACAAAGACAGTCTACAGAATGGGAAAGGATATTCGCCAACTACACATCTGAAAAGGGGTTAATTTCAAGGATATACAAAGTACTGGTTCAACTCCACAAAAAGAAAACATTCAACCCCATCAAAAAATGGGGAGATGAAATGAATAGAAACTTTCACAAAGAAGAAATCCGAA